TTTTTAAATTACTAATTGATTCAAATTACTTTCTGCTCTAAGTAGCCTGTATTAACCATGCTTTCTCTGAATTGGAACCTGTAGTGCATTATTGGCTTCATCTGTTTACAGAACCATCCCATAGTACTGAATACAATAGAAGTAACTGGAAAAAGTCCATCAGAAGCTATGGGAGGGCAGCTAAACACAGAATCAACAATGTTTTAGTTTCATGAGCAGAAAATCTGATTATAAAACTGTGGATGACAAGACTTCAAATAGCCATGTTTAAAATTATAAACACATCAACCAACAAGAGGCACTTGCTAACTCCACACAGTATTTTCAAAAGCACCTGTAGGATTTTAGAAAGCATCTAATCCTTTTAGACCTCAGGGCCTTTCTCATTAAGATGACCATTAATTTAGTAACACAAGATCATTAAACTTTTTAACATTCAGACATTTATATCAGTAGCATTTTATATTATAAAACTTAAAATTTAGCACCACTTCACATCTTGACAGTACTTCTAATATAATCCAAATAGCCTGATTAGTTGTGTCTCTCTATGATGAGACATATGTCTTTGAAATTTCCAGGAGCACATCTGGAATTGTCAAAGTGTAAATTTTTGGAATTTTGATTTTTTGAATGACTGTCAAGGATGTCAAGAAAGCTCAAAATCTAAAATATCTGGTTGAAATAAAATTCTTTAACATCATGACATTATATAGACCAAATCTGATCCTTGTTACAAGGTGACTATTCAAATGCTTGGAAAAAAAAAAAAGCACATATTTAAATAACCCACAGCTCTAAATAAAAACTCAGCTATTTTTAAATAATTAGGATTTAACAGAGACATCAAGGGAACATAATAGATAGCTTTAACTCACTGCTTTAAGAATCATATCCTGGCTGGCACCGCGGCTCACTAGGCTAATCCTCCGCCTAGCGGCGCCGGCACACCGGGTTCTAGTCCCGGTGGGGGCGCCGGATTCTGTCCCGGTTGCCCCTCTTCCAGGCCAGCTCTCTGCTGTGGCCAGGGAGTGCAGTGGAGGATGGCCCAAGTGCCTGGGCCCTGCACCCCATGGGAGACCAGGTTAAGCACCTGGCTCCTGCCATCGGATCAGCGTGGTGCGCTGGCCGCAGCGCGCCAACCGTGGCGGCCATTGGAGGCAAAAGGAAAACCTTTCTCTCTGTCTCTCTCACTGTCCACTCTGCCTGTCCAAAAATTAAATAAATAAAAAAAATAACTTATAAAGTGTTACTCAGGTTCTATGTCAATTTCTCCAGGTTTATTTTAACTCGTCAACTAATTTTCTACTGCCAAATTTTATGTGCCTGGAGAGCAGGCACTGGGTCTGCTTCTACACCAAAAGACAGTGTATGACATTAGAAAGATAGATCATTAATTAATGTTCAAAAATACACAAGGGTCAATGAACTCATGGGATAGTAGGACTGATGGATAGCTGGACTAGTGGGTGGATGGAAGGATAGTTGTGTGGATGAATGGGTGGTTGTGAGTGGATGAATGGGTGGATAGGTAGGTGACTGGTTGTGGATGGATGGGTAGTTGTTATGTTTGGATGAGTTGGTATGTTCATGAGTGTATGAATGGGTGGATAGGTAGGTGACTGGATTCTTGGATGACTTGATCAGATGGACTGAGAAGAAGCCAAGAAGTCTAGGAGGCTTAGGATTTCATGGAGATGCTGGACAGGATTCTGTGAGAATTTTTCCCAAGTGGCTAAATGCAGATTTCTAATCATCACTTAATATATGCAGAGACTATGTATAGAGGGTATGATCATGATCTAAAAGGACTAGAGTAGAAATGGAAGCTTCTAGTACATGTCATAATATGACTGTATTGTAACTTCAAATGATGATCAGAGGGCCCTGGAACAACCTGTCATAAAATAGGCACATCAGATGGCTTCTGGATCTTTAAGTGGCTTGTTGTAGAGGCACTCTCCAATTGTCAGCATATACAAAAGTCATACCATGGATTATATTGAAATACCCTAGAGACCCAACAATTATCAAGCTGAATACTCATACATTAACATAGTACTTAAAGAGTTGGAAATGTCTTTCTATATGTATTTACTCATTTAATTTTCCCACCTTTTGTGAGGCATGCACTAATCTCATTTTACAATGAAAAATCGAGCATCAGATAGGTGGAGAGATATGCTTTATAATGGATAAACTGTTTACATGAATGAAGTCAAGGGCCATTTGTGTCTTTTCATCCTATATTGAGTGCCTTTTCTCTTTCCTGATACCTGTGGGTAGAGGAAATGTATAGTACAAAGTGCACACTGCAAAATCAATCCAATGCAGGACTGATAAGTCAATGGGCAACACTGGGAACTTAAGTTTTTTGTCATACATTGTCTCATGTACAACACATCCCTATTTTTTTCCAGAGAACACACAGGAATGGAGAACAAAGTGTTCCATCCCAACCTCATATTCTTTTGGCAAACCCAATAAAATTCTCTCCTCCTACAGAATCTGACAGGCACACAGATGAATGCACCAGTTCCTAAAGAAATTCTTTCTTTACTGTTCTGACACTACTGAGTGTCCAGGCTTGCAAAATACCAGAGTGGAATGTACCCTGGCCCTTGGCCTATGCTGCTGCTGGCTCCTGACTTCAGAGCAGCACAGCACCGGCTGTTGTGACCATCTGGGGAGTGAACAAATGGTTCTCTGTCTCTCTCTCTAACTCTGCTTCTCAATAAATAAAATCTATAAATTAAAAAAAAAAAAAGAAAGAAACCTGACAGAGTACTACAACCAAACCCACAGTCAGTCACAGGCAGGCATGGTCAATCAAAACTTAGACACAGAAAGCTAGAATTAATCAAACCCATACACACATAGCCACTCGAACCTGAGACAGACAAGTCAGAACAAATCTAAAGGAGAGAAAACAGCTCTGAGAGGCAGTAACACAGATGCAGCCATGGGCAATAAAACCTGAAACAGAGAGAAGGTAGAATCAGTTGAACCCACAGACTAACAGACGGGGGTAAGGCCAATGAAACCTCAGACAGACATACAGAAGTCAGAAAGTGGCACAGAGGCAGCCATGAGCAATCAAACTTGAGACAGTTACAGAGAGAGGTAGAGACAGAGAGAGAGGTCTTCCATCCGCTGGTTCACTCCCTAGATGGCCACAACAGCCACAGCTGAGCCACGAGCCAGGAGATTCCTCCGGGTCTCCCATGCGGGTGCAGGGGCCCAAGGACTTGGGCCATCTTCTACTGCTTTCCCAGGCCACAGCAGAGAGCTGGATCAGAAGAAGAGCAGCTGGGACTAGAACCAGCACCCATATGGGATGCCGGCACTGCAGCGGCGGCTTTACCCCTATGCCATAGCACTGGCACCATAAATTTATATTTTTCATTTCATTTCTTATTAATGTTGTGAAGTACACTGCCATTCTGCTGGGTATTTCAATTCAGAATAGTGTTACAATCCCAAGAGAGGCTCTCAGGGAAGTTTCCTGCTCACCCATCCATTCATTAAGCTGCTCAAGCTGCAACCATAGCAAGTTCCTGGGGACACTACAGGACCTTGTGCACTTGCTGCAACCACCTGGGAGACACACAAACCACATGGCTGAATCATATTTGTTTGCCAATCAATGGCAGAAAACTTTAAACAGTAAAATAACATGAGAGAAAACTGTTTATAAAGTTTTTCTCAGAGAAAATGCCTATGACAACTTGTAACCATGCATCTTCCAAATATTCCAAATGAGAACCGGTATGTTCTGAAGACTGTTTGAACTGTGAACACGTGATTTTTTTTGTATATCATGGGAGAAAACTTCCTGCAGCAAACGGATAAATGGTACACAGATGATAGAAAAATATCCATGAATGAAAGATATTTGCACTACTATGAGTATGACAGCTCAATTTATGATACCTCACATATAGAATCAATCAACTTATCCATCAACTCATGCTGAATTTTAAAATTCTGTTAAATATACACTATGGAATACTACTCATGCATAAAAAGGAATGAAAGCCTGTCTTTTTAACAAAATGGATGTGACTTGAGATCATGTTGCGTAATGAAATAAGGCAGTTCCTAAAAGACAAATATGTTTTCTCTGATATACAGTACTCAGTGCAAAAACAATGCATAAAAATGAAACTTACATGTTTTTCATTGCTTTTTGAAGCAATAAGGAAATGTCCATCTCAAGCTCACCTTTTAGCTTTGGGTGGTTTGGGAATGGAATACAGGTGAATTCTATAGCAGTATATTATCATTTCAAATCCTTTCTTCTCAGCACCTGCAATCCTCAACTATTTTCTCCTCTCTCCTTGTCTCCTTTACTTCTGCATGTTTCCAACCATGGAGTCCCTCACCTTATTAACAATTCTGTCATCACACCCTGCCTTCTGGGGTTGGGCAGTTCCCTTGCCCTCTGGGAAAAGTGATGCCTTACTGCATTCTGAGATAATAAAGCTCCATTGTGTTCTTGGAAAATGAGGTTCCAGTCTTCTTGTGAAGACAGATGTCCCATTACATTGAAAATGACAGGAAGTTTTGTGTACACAGGAAGAATACCATACTCCAAGTTCAGGAAAAGATTTACAATTTTTTGGTTTAAAAAATTTACTAAGAAGTTAGTTTTCCACTTAAATACTGAATTCATCTGTTTATGAAGCTTAAAACTGGATTACAATGGATGACTGTTATAAATAAAATTTCACCTTTTAAGCATACTTTTCATAGAGTAAAAAATACTCGATGTACCTTACCATCTTGACAATTTTTCCATGCATGCTAAAGAAAATGGCATCAATTACTATGCTACTTCTTCCAGTTTCAATATACTATTTCTGGAGCCACAAGTCTTATAAATTCAAAACTGTAACATACATCCTTATTTTGAAAACTGCATTTTACAAATGGACTTACAAGGATGAAAACAAATAGTTACAAAAATATAAAAGGTAACAAACTCAGTATAAAAATACTTAAGCTGACACCATTCCAAAGTATATTTTGATCATTCTTAAATGTTATAGAGACCATAAATATATTTCTGAAAGATACAGAACAAGTCCATAGACTATAGAAATTAGTTAAATACTATTCCAGACAAATCTATGACTTTCAATTTTGATTTTCAATTCTGATTAAACATCAATTTCTTGCAACTGTGACTGTCAATGGTTGAAAAGGCATTTCTTTCTCTTTTTTAAAAATGTTTTATTTCTAAGTCTCATTATATAAAAAATAAAGAATTAATATGTCACCTAAGATGGTTCAACATCAATTTTTAAAGAAATATAGTATAGTAAATACATTAAAAAAAAAACGGAATTAAGACAATTTGTTTTAATAAACAATACTCATGGTAAATAAAGTTCTATTCTTCTTAAGTTGATGGTCAAAATTCCCAGTTAATGTCTTCAGAAAATGAAAACTGAATTCAATTTAGATCTGTAAGTGAAAAGAAAGAGACCCATGAAGAAATAATTATTGTAACATAGGAATCTCTTCAGGATTACATGTCAAATTCCTTTTAAATGAAATAGATTATACATTAGATTTTCTCAATTCCTATCTACTATTAGTAAAATCTTTCTGTTTCAGATGTTCTACTATGGGAAATATCCTTAAAAGTTCAGTATACCCTTCTGTCCTTTAACAATTAGATGAGGCACAGTCCTACCCAAATCTGTTCTCTGAGTGATTAGTCACAGGAGCAAAATTATATAACCTATAAACCTCCCAGAAAAATGATTCAGAAGTTGTTAGGATTTTAGGTAATGAAGGAAAAGTAAAATCTTATAAAAATGCACAAATCTACCCTGAATCCATGATAGTTACACTTTTGATGCTTGACAAAGAAATTAACTGTTAATACTTTCTACCCTTGGGAATCCATCGTATCTAGGATCTGCAAAGGAAGTTCTGTATGTTTTTTTTTTTTTTTTGACAGGCAGAGTGGACAGTGAGAGAGAGAGACAGAGAGAAAGGTCTTCCTTTGCCGTTGGATCACCCTCCAATGGCCGCCGCTGCAGCCGGCGCACCACGCTGATCCGATGGCAGGAGCCAGGAGCCAGGTGCTTTTCCTGGTCTCCCATGGGGTGCAGGGCCCAAGCACCTGGGCCATCCTCCACTGCACTCCCTGGCCATAGCAGAGAGCTGGCCTGGAAGAGGGGCAACCGGGACAGAATCCGGCGCCCCAACCGGGACTAGAACCCGGTGTGCCGGCGCCGCAAGGTGGAGGATTAGCCTATTGAGCCACGGCGCCGGCCGGAAGTTCTGTATGTTTTAAGATAGATTAAGATATATAGTATAAACTATATATTAAACTTATATAAAACCAGCAGATTACTTTGTGTTTAAAATTTTTTAATGCACATACACAAAGATACTAGCCTTCATAATTTTTGGAAACTCTGGTTATTATATTGCATGAACTTGGTCAAAAACAACTGCAAAAAAACCATTTTGTGTTTTTCTATGTGTGCATTGTTTGTGTGTGCAACTATGCAGATTTTTTTTCTGAACTATTTTTGTTGCACTGTGGTAAGAAAAAATCTAGATTGAAATGTAAGCTATATAGTTATTTTAATAGATAAACAGAAAATCAGGATGTTTCATTTAAATTGAGTTAACAACAGAACAGTAGCAAGGCATTCAGTTCTGTGTCCTCATCACTTTTTTAGGTTTGCACAAAATAAGCATGCAACAAGACCAAACCAAGGATCTGGGCAATAACAATGCCTCACAAAGAAATTAGTATTTTCCTATTACATGCTCCATAATATCTGTCTCCACAATCAGGCTTAAGAGTTTGCAGTAGGGCCAGCACACTGTGGAATAGTGGGCTAAGCTTCTGCCTTGAAGAGCAGTATCCATGCTGCTCCGTATCTGATCCAGCTACCTGCTAATGGCCTGTGAAATCCAGCTAAAGATGGCCCAAGCAGAAGGCCCTGCCACCCATATGGGAGATCCAAATGAAGCTACCTAGACCAGCACTGGCTGCTGCAGCTATCTGCAAATGGAAGATCCTGTCTCTCTCTGTCTCTCTTCACATCTCTTTCAAAATAAGTAAATTAGCCCCTGCACCACATGGAAAAAGCTCCTGGCTCCTGGCTTCAGCTCAGCACAGATGCAGCCATTGCAGACATTTGGGGAGTGAACCAGAAGATGGAAGACCTCTGTCTCTCTCTCTCATACCTCTCTGTAACTCTGCATCTCAAATAAACCTTTAAAAAATGCAGCAACTTCAGTATATCACTAAGTTAGTTCAAACAAAAATCTTCTACTATTTTATTTAACAGAAATATCTATTTAGATACTCTGCTTATACAAACTGTAACCATGCAATATCCACTGGGAAAGTTAATAATTACTTTTCAGAAAGTGCTTGTCCAAGTATAAACACGTAGATTGGCTAGATTGTTTCTAATAATATATTCAAATTCACAGCATTTCCATTATGCATTAAGCACTAAACATTATTAGCAAACACACCCCCTCAACCTTTAGGGTCATGTACTTACATCATCAATGTCTTCATCATCATCTCCAATATCATCAAACTGGATTTCATCATCATCTCCAGGACCAAATGTATCGGTTTCATTGATTTTAGCTAAATAAATAATAAATGCATAAAAAACATTCATTACACAATTAAAATGTTATTAAAATGAGTAACCGCAAGAGTCTTATTATAGGCCAACCTTCCATTCAACCAAAGTTCTGCTATTAGGAGCAAAATATATTGCTTTATGAAGCTATATAAAGCAATCTAACAACAAAATCCCCCAGAAATTCATCTATTCCTAAGTCATTACAACAGAGAATATATGTGCTGCACTTTTGTTCAGTGCAACATAATTTTAATAACATTTTAAAAATTTAACAATTTTAAAAACATCAAATGAGTATGACTAAACAACATGTAGTCACATGAAGTATAAAACATCATGAGATTAAAACAACTAGTTCTACAACTACTGGAGAAACTTAGCAAACCAGAGCAAGATTTAGTCAAATCATGTTTATCATTTAAGAAATAACAGTGACGCACAGCTTGTGCTGTGGCATACTGGGCTAAGCATCTGCCTGCAGCGACACCATCCCATATGGGCACCAGTTCGAGTCCTGGCTACTTCATTTCTGATCTAGCTCTCTGCTCTGGCCTGGGAAAGCAGTTGGAGATGGCTCAAGTCCTTGGGCCCCTGCACCCACATGGGAGACCCAGAGGAAGCTCCTGGCTCCTGGCTTCAGATCAGCACAGCTCTGGCCATTGCGGCCAATTGGAGAGTGAACCAGTGGGTGGAGGACCTCTCTCTCTCTGTCTCATCTCTATGTCTCTCTGTAATTTTGTCTTTTAAATAAATAAATAAATCTTTTTAAAATAAATACATAATAAAAGAGAAAAGGAGGTGCTAGACTAATTCACAGACATCGGCACTTCCTCAAATGCAAAGAATTTCAATTGATTTTCAGATCTTTCTCTGTGTCTCTCCCTCTCACTGTCTGCAACTCTACCTCTCAGATAAATAAATAAAATCTTTTTAAGAAAATGAAAACTATGAGTCGGCTGAGAAATGTTAAATGGAAAAATGCTAATAATGTGTTACTTTGACAGACGTTTATACAAATCCAGGTTTCAAAGTTTTGCAAACTTACAAACTCACCAGAAAGTGTATATATTTAATGTCACAGACAACTCCATGAAAATTCCTTCAACTAAACACAAAGAATGAAAATATCTATGACATAGCCGGCACCGCGGCTCAGTAGACTAATCCTCCGCCTTGCGGCGCCGGCACACCGGGTTCTAGTCCCGGTCCGGGCGCCGGATTCTGTCCCGGTTGCCCCTCTTCCAGGCCAGCTCTCTGCTGTGGCCAGGGAGTGCAGTGGAGGATGGCCCAGGTGCTTGGGCCCTGCACCCCATGGGAGACCAGGAAAAGCACCTGGCTCCTGGCTCCTGCCATCGGATCAGCGTGGTGCGCCGGCCGCGGCGGCCATTGGAGGGTGAACCAACGGCAAAGGAAGACCTTTCTCTCTGTCTCTCTCTCACTGTCCACTCTGCCTGCCAAAATAAATAAATAAATAAATAAATAAATAAATAAATAAATAAATAAATAAATAAAATAAAATAAAAATAAAAAAAAGAAAAAAAAGAAAATATCTATGACAGAGTAGATTAATAATAATAGACATTACCATGTTCAGGAAGCTCGCCATATGCCTTCAGACTTCTAGCTTCATCTGCATTGTATTTTAAAATTACGTCTGCTTTGTTATCCTTAGAAATAAACAAACTTGTAAAACTCATAACACTGCACTGCTTTTCTTCCTTTACCCACCCGTACTCTAGTAAAAAATTCTAAAACAAATAGAAAAAAATATATAATTTTAAATAATTAAAAATATAGGACATCTGTAATTTCATCTGAATAAAGTAGGACAGGGAAACAATCTTCTATTTTTCATAAATCACTAAAAACAAGCAGTAGTAACAAAACATCATAATGACATACAAAATATTCAGTTTTGAAAAACAACAAATTATGACTTAAGAACAGGTTTTTGGAAAACTAAAGAGGCTGGGACAACCCTCAAATCCTATAGGAAAACTAGATTGAGTTTCAGGTTCCTGGCTTTGGCTTATTCCAGCTTTGACTGCTCTGTGCATTCTGCGAAGTTTTTTTCTTTTTTTAAAGATTTATTTTATTTATTTGAAAGACAGATATACAGAGAAAGAGGAGGAGACAGAGACGTCTTCCAACGTTGGTTCACTCTCCAGTTGGCTGCAACAGCCAGAGCTGCACCTGGCTCCTGGATCGTGGAGCTCTGGCTGTTGCAGCCAACTGGACAGTGAACCAACGGATGGAAGATGTCTCTTTCTCTGCTTCTCTCTGTAAATCTTTCAAATAAAGGCCTTTCTTTCTCACTCACTGCTTCTGTCTCGGGCTCTCTGTAACTCTGCCTTTCAAATAAATAAATAAATATTTAAAATAAATACATATATAAATAGAAACTGTATTGACCAAGTCTTCTTACAAAAAATAAAAACAAATACACGATTAATAAATTGTAGTAAAAACACTATAGTGTTAAACAAAATGCAAACAGCAGAATGGTTAAAAACACACTGGCCTAGAATTGCCCAACAATGTTAATTCTGTGTTTCCTAACAATTAATGACTTGCTATGGAGGCTGCAACATAAATTTAAACTTAGTTTTTACCTGATACTCTCGGAGACCAATCAAAATAATGTCTGAGGTATTTATCCAAACCTATGAAACAGATTTTACAGCATATTATTTTCATTTGAAGATGATTTTAATGTTAAATGAATCTTTCCACAAAACACATACTACAAAGGGTTTTCCAACAGTTCAGAAAGAAATTAAAAAAGAAATTCTGGTACCCAAAATATGAAATCCACACATAGGAAGTCTCTTCAAAAGTGTTCAAGTGAAATGGATACTATCATTAAACAATGTATACATTTCAAAAGGAATCTATAGGACTTCACATTCAAATTTCTCATACCATTTGCAGTTCTATTTAACTAAAATGTAACACATAAACTGAATGAATTACCCATCTCTTTTGTCACTTTTAAAACTAAAAAATTGTTTTTTTCACATTAACATTTAGTTGAATGTAGTACTGTAGAAATCATTTATCATTTCTATATTAACTATCCAGTAAACATTTACAGCTACAATATATAATTCTTTATACAAATAGAATCTTTTGAGAAGTTTAATTTGTGTTCTCAAATAAATAACTGTTTCGTTTTAAGTCTTTGGCAATTTACAAAATTGAACTGCTTGGCAAACAGTTGTATACTTGAAGTAAAGTAATTCTTTGCAGCAAATTTTATAATAAAAGAAATCTATACACCTACCTTCTTTCTCAATTTTCCTCTAATATGGCATAATCGCTTTACACCATCAAAGCACATTGCTTCTAATCGTCCATTTCCCAGCATTTTGATTACTTGTGCATACTCTGAGGAGAATAAAAGAGTTGCAAAAAATGTTCTTTGTTCTCATAAAAATCTCAGTGATTTTTTTCAAGATTTATTTATTGAAAAGTCAGACTTACAGAGACAGAGAGAAACAGAGCCAGACAGAAATACAGAGAGATTGCCCTTTTGTTGCTTTATTTCCCCAAGGGCCACAAAAAACTCTAGGCTGAGTCATTTTCTACTGCTTCTCTCAACCAACAACATCGGGCCCAATTTCAGTAGAAACAAGCCTAGGAATAAGCAATCTGATACAGTGGGCTGGGTTGCCTATATCACATGCCAAAGTCATCACCGCTCCAGTTCTGATGCAGCTTCCTGTTAATGTACCTGATGACCACACAGGAGAGCTAAATGGTGTTCTTGGCTGCAGGCTTCCACCTACCCAAGCCCTGGCTGTTATAACCACTTGTTGAAAGAAGTGGTGGTGGAAGATGTCGTTCTCCATGTCACCCTCTCTCTTTCTCTCTGTGTTTCAAAGAAATCTTTAAGAACATGAGTGCAACAACAAATGGTAGCTCTTTCTCTTTTTCTCAAAAAAAAAGCCATTCTTTAAAAAAATCTGAGCCTGATTTAATTATTGCACATTTGTATATATGAATCTATTACCATACTATACCACAAAAATATGGGCAATTAAAACAATAATTTTAAAATAAAGAAAAAATAAAAATATGAATGATAGCACACAGCAATCTTCTAGAAATAATCAATAAACAAATAGAAGGGAAACAGATTACAAATCCTCACAAGAGTAAAATTTCAGAACTCTATGACACAATATTGATGAATTTATAATTATATTTTCATTAATTTGAAAACCTAAATTGTGAAGTTTTCACATGTTAGCTGGTCACTTTTCCTGATTTCTGAGTTAACTGTCCAATGTGCATTTTTTTTAAAGATTTTATTTATGGGGCCAGCGCTGTGGTGCAGTGGTTTAACACCCTGGCCTACAATGCTAACATCCCATTTGAGCACCGGATTCTGTCCCGGTTGCCCCTCTTCCAGGCCAGCTCTCTGCTGTGGCCAGGAAGTGCAGTGGAGGATGGCCCAAGTGCTTGGGCCCTGCACCCCATGGGAGACCAGGAGAAGCACCTGGCTCCTGGCTTCGGATCAACGCGGTGCGCTGGCCGCAGCAGCCATTGGAGGGTGAACCAACGGCAAAGGAAGACCTTTCTCTCTGTCTCTCTCTCACTGTCCACTCTGCCTTCAAAAAAAAACCAAAAAACAAAAAACAAAAAAAAACTTAAAGATTATACATTAGCTCATAGCTTCTTGTGAATAAAAACTTCTGTGTAACCCTTTCAAATACATAAATCTTTAAAAAAAAGATTACATTTATCTGAGAGGCAGAGTTATAGACCATGAGAGAGACACAGAGAGAAAGGTCTTTTCCGTTGGTTCACCCTCCAGTGGCCAAAGCGGCCAGCGCACCGCGCTGATGCGATGGCAGGAGCCAGGTACTTCTCCTGGTCTCCCATGGGGTGCAGGGCCAAGCACCTGGGCCATCCTTCACTGCACTCCCGGGCCACAGCAGAGAGCTGGCCTGGAAGAGGGGCAACCGGGACAGAATCCGGCGCCCCCACCGGGACTAGAACCCGGCGTGCCGGCGCCGCTAGGCGGAGGATTAGCCTAGTGAGCCGCAGCGCCGCCTTTTATTTTTTTGACAGGCAGCGTGGACAGTGAGAGAGAGAGACAGAGAAAGGTCTTCCTTTTGCCGTTGGTTCACCCTCCAATGGCCGCTGCGGTCGGTGCGCTGTGGCCAGCGCACCGCGCTGATCCGATGGCAGGAGCCAGGTACTTTTCCTGGTCTCCCATGGGGTGCAGGGCCCAACACTTGGGCCATCCTCCACTGCACTCCCTGGCCACAGCAGAGAGCTGGCCTGGAAGAGGGGCAACCGGGACAGAATCCGGCGCCCCCACCGGGACTAGAACCCGGTGTGCCGGCGCCGCTAGCTGGAGGATTAGCCTAGTGAGCCGCGGCGCTGGCCTTCTCTCTTTTCTTGAAAATAAAAGCTCTATGATCTAATTTTCCTGACCTAAGTTATCATTTTTCTTTTATCATCTGTGGGCCATATTCCCTGGTCTCACATTGTCCAGCCACGCTCGGCTTGCACAGAGCGGGGCGGGGAGACTACAACTCCCCGAAGCCTCAGCGGCGGCGGCGACGCTCGACGTGTGGGCTGTACTGGCCTGAGTGACAGGTAGCCGACCCAATGGCTTCCCCGGTCTCAGACTCCGGACCGCTCAGACGCGGGGTGGGTGTGTGCTTCCTGTTTCGGAGGCGTCTGCTCGGGGCGGAAATTCTATATGTAAGAGCTGAGAAAGCTTTCTTTTCTTTCAAAAAAAAAAAAAAAGCTGTGAGGCCTAATTTTCCTGACCTGAGCTATCATTTTCCTGTTATCATCTGTGGGCCATATTTCCTGGTTTCACATTGCCCAGCCACGCTAGGCTTGAACTGGGCGGAGCGGGGAGACCACAACTCCCAAACGGCTCAGCGAGAGCGTCGCTTTGCGTCTGGGCTGGACTCGCCTGAGTGACAGGTCCGCAAGCCAATGGCTTCACGCGTCTCAGACCCGGGGGCCAATCAGATGCTGGGTGGTTGCGGGCTTCCTGTTTCTGCGGCTCCCGACGGACGTGGTCTTGAAACAAACCACGTTCAACCCAACTCACTTCTCTCTTTTCTTGAAAATAAAAGCTCTATGATCTAATTTTCCGGACCTAAGTTATCATTTTTCTTTTATCATTTTTGGGCCATCTTTCCTGATTTCAAATTGTGCAGGCACACTTGCCTTGTCTGAACGCAGCCCTGAACTACAGCTGCCAGGAGCCCTAGCGGCGGCGGATGCGGCGCTCTACGACTGGGCTGGGCTCGTACGAGTGACAGGTAGCACAGCCTATGGCTTCTCCGGTCTCAGACTCGGGGACCAATCAGAGGCTGGGCGGGCGTGTGCTTCCTGTTTCAGCGGCTCGGGGCGGAAGTGGTGCTGAACCGCATTTCACACAGCTCTCTCCTCTCTTTTCTTTTAAAAAAAGCTCCTTGATCGAGCCGGCGCCGTGGCTCAATAGGCTAATCCTCCACCTTGCGGCGCCGGCACACCGGGTTCTAGTCCCGGTGGGGGCGCCGGATTCTGTCCCGGTTGCCCCTCTTCCAGGCCAGCTCTCTGCTGTGGCCAGGGAGTGCAGTGGAGGATGGCCCAGGTGCTTGGGCCCTGCAACCCATGGGAGACCAGGAAAAGTACCTGGCTCCTGCCATCGGATCAGCGCGGTGCGCCGGCCGCAGCAGCCATGGGAGGGTGAACCAACGGCAAAGGAAGACCTTTCTCTCTGTCTCTCTCTCACTGTCCACTCTGCCTTCAAACTAAGAAAAGAGAGAAGTGAGCTGGGTTCAAGACCATGTTGCCTGCCCCTGACTGGACCGGGATCCTGTCAGTCTGCCGCCAGCACCCCACCCCCTTGGCGCTCCTTCTGCCCCTGACTGGACGGGGAACCTGTCAGTCTCCCGCCTAAACCCCACCCCCTTGGCGCTCCTTTTGCCCCTGACTGGACCGGGAACCTGTCAGTCTCCCGCCAGCACCCCACCCACCCCCTTAGCGCTCCTGCTGCCCCTAACTCGACCCGGAAGCTGCCCGAGGGCGCCTCCTCCCGCCCTCTGCACTGCCGCTAATGACTTTTTCCAGTGCGCGCTCAGAACGCCACCTCCTTCCTCGCCGGTGGCTGCCTGGCCTCCCTGGACGAGTGAGGCGCAGGTCTAGGTTCAGAACCTCGCCCTCTGCCCGGCCCTGACTGGCTCTGCTGGATGAGGAGGAACAGTCCGGCCTGTCCCGCCCGTGCTGGGCGCGGGCAGGCAGCGTGGCAGAAGACAGGGTCTGGGCTCCTACTGCGCGTTCCTCCTCCCAGACAAGGGCAGGCAGGGCCAAGCTACAGGGCGAGGTTCTGGCGGACGGACAGGCGGGTACGCGCCCGCTCAGGGGCTGCCAGGGACGTGCGGGACCCAGACCCGAAGCTGCCTCGTCCAGTCCGAGCTGGACATGGGCGGGACGACTGCCGCGTGGTGCGCGCAGACGTCACTTCCCGCGTCCAGTCAGGAGCCGCGAGGGGCGTGGCTCGAGGCGGTTCCTTTCCACACCATTTCCGCCCCGAGCCGCAGAAACAGGGCGACACAACCACTCAGCATCTGATTGGCAACGGAGTCTGAGACCGCGTGAAGCCAATGGCTGCCCGACCTGTCACTCAGACGAGCCCAGCCGCAGAGCGCCCTGCCGCTGAGGCTTTGGGGAGTTGTAGTCTCCCCGGTCCACCCTGTCCAAGCAGAGGGTGGCTGGGCAATGTGAAACCAGGAAATATGGCCCACAGATGATAAAAGGAAAATGATAGCTCAGGTCAGGAAAATTAGGCCTCACAGCTTTTTTTTTTTTTTTGAAAGAAAAGAAAGCTTTCTCAGCTCTTACATATAGAATATTCCGCCCCGAGCAGACGCCTCCGAAACAGGAAGCACACACCCACCCCGCGTCTGAGCGGTTCGGAGTCTGAGACCGGGGAAGCCATTGGGTCGGCTACCTGTCACTCAGGCCAGTACAGCCCACACGTAGAGCGTCGCCGCCGCCGCTGAGGCTTCGGGGAGTTGTAGTCTCCCCGCCCCGCTCTGTGCAAGCCGAGCGTGGCTGGACAATGTGAAACCAGGGAATATGGCCCACAGATGATAAAAGAAAAATGATAACTTAGGTCAGGAAAATTAGATCATAGAGCTTTTATTTTCGAGAAAAGAGAGTAAACCCCACCCACTCGGCGCTCCTTCTGCCCCTGACTGGACGGGGAACCTGTCAGTCTCCCGCCAGCACCCCAACCCTTTAGCGTTCCCCTGCCTGCCCCAGACTGGACGGGGAACCTGTCAGTCTCCCGCCTAAACCCCACCCCCTTGGCGGTGCTGCCTTCCCCTGACTGGACCGGGATCCTGTCAGTCTCCCGCCAGCACCCCACCCCCTTGGCGCTCCTTCTGCCCCTGACTGGACCGGGAATCTGTCAGTCTCCCGCCAGCACCCCACCCCCTTAGCGCTCCTGCTGCCCCTAACGCGACCCGGAAGCTGCCGGAGAGCGCCTCCTCCCGCCCTCTGCACTGCCGCTAATGACTTTTTCCAGTGCGCGCTCAGAACGCCACCTCCTTCCTCGCCGGTGGCTGCCTGGCCTCCCTGGACGAGTGAGGCGCAGGTCTAGGTTCAGAACCTCGCCCTCTGCCCGGCCCTGACTGGCTCTGCTGGATGAGGAGGAACAGTCCGGCCTGTCCCGCCCGTGCTGGGCGCGGGCAGGCAGCGTGGCAGAAGACAGGTTCTGGGCTCCTACTGCGCGTTCCTCCTCCCAGACAAGGGCAGGCAGGGCCAAGCTACAGGGCGAGGTTCTGGCGGACGGACAGGCGGGTACGCGCCCGCTCAGGGGCTGCCAGGGACGTGCGGGACCCAGACCCGAAGCTGCCCCGTCCGGTCCGAGCTGGACATGGGCGGGACGACTGCCGCGTGGTGCGCGCAGACGTCACTTCCCGCGTCCAGTCAGGAGCCGCGAGGGGCGTGGCTCGAGGCGGTTCCTTTCCACACCATTTCCGCCCCGAGCCGCAGAAAAAGGGCGACACAACCACTCAGCATCTGATTGGCAACGGAGTCTGAGACCGCGTGAAGCCAATGGCTGCCCGACCTGTCACTCAGACGAGCCCAGCCGCAGAGCGCCCTGCCGCTGAGGCTTTGGGGAGTTGTAGTCTCCCCGGTCCACCCTGTCCAAGCAGAGGGTGGCTGGGCAATGTGAAACCAGGAAATATGGCCCACAGGTGACAGACGAAAAATGATCATTTAGGTCAGGAAAATTAGGCCTCAGAGCTTTTTTTCAAAGAAGAGAAAGAAGACAGCTGGGTTAAACACGGTTCCTTTCCACACCATTTCCGCCCCGAGCAGACGCCTCCGAAACAGGAAGCACACACCCACCCCAGGTCTGAGCGGTCCGGAGTCTGAGACCGGGGAAGCCATTGGGTCGGCTACCTGTCACTCAGGCCAGTACAGCCCACACGTAGAGCGTCGCCGCCGCCGCTGAGGCTTCGGGAAGGTGTAGTATCCCCGCCCGGCTCTGTGTAAGCCGGAGGGAATCCATAGACTCGGATGGAGCCTTAGGAACCCAGATAGAGCCTTAGGAACTCGGATGGAGTCTTAGGGACCCGGATGGAGTTCAGAGACTCGGATGGAGCCTTAGGTACCCGGAATGAGCCAAGAGACCCGGATGCAGCACAGAGACTCGGATGAAGCCCAGAGAACCCGATGGAATCCAGAGACCTGGAGGTGGCCCTGTGGACCCGGATGTGGCAATGGGGACTCGGATGTGGCCCGGAGACCCTGGTGGAGCCCAGAGACTCGGATGGAGCCCAGAGACCGGAATGGAGCCTTAGGGACCCGGATGGAGCCAGAGACTCGGATGGAGCCCAGAGACTCGGATGGAGCCCTGAGACTAGGATGGAGCCCAGAGAAGAGGATGGAGCCTTAGGGACCCGGATGTAGCTCAGAGACCTGGAGAGAGCCCAGAGACTCGAATGGAGCTCAGAGAGCCCGATGTGGCCCAGAGACCCGGATGGAGCCAATGACCCCGATGTGGCCCAGAGACCCGGATGGAGCCCAGTGACCCGGATGGAGCTCAGAGAGCCTGATGTGGCCCAGAGACCCGGATAGAGCCCAGAGACTCGGATGGGGCCCAGAGACCTGGATGGAGCCCAGAGACTCTAATGGAGCCCAGAGACCCAGATGGAGCGCAGTGATCCGGATGTTGCCCTGGAGACCCGGGTGGAGCACAGAGACCGGAATGGATCCTTAGCGACCCGGATTGAGCCCAGAGACCCGGATGGAGCCTTAGGGACGCGTATGGAGCCTTAGGGACCTGGATGGAGCCTTAGGGACCTGGATGGAGCCCAGAAACCCGGATGGAGTCTTAGGGTCCCGGATGGATCCCACAGACCCTAATGGAGCCCAGAGACTCGGATGGAGCTTTAGGGACCCGAATGGAACCTTAGGGACCCGGATGGAGCCTTAGGAACCCGGATGGATCCTAGGGACCTTGCTGGTGCCCAGAGACTCGGTTGGAGCCCAGACTCGGATGGAGCCTTATGGACACGGATGTAGCTCAGAGACCTGGAGAGAGCCCAGAGACTCGGAGAGAGCCCAGACACCCAGATGTTGCCCAGAGACCCGGATGGAGCCCAGTGACCCGGATGGAGCCCAGAGAACCCGATGTAGCCCGGAGACCTCTTGGTGGCCCTGGGGACCCAGATGTGGCCCTTGGGACCCGGGTGGAGCCCTGGGACCCAGATGTAGCCTTGGAGGGAGCCCTGGAGACCCGGATGTGGCCCTGGAGACCTGGATGTGGCCCTGGACCCGGATGGAGCCCTGGAGACCCCAATGTGGGCCTGGAGACCCAGATGTGACCCTAGAGATCCTGATGTAGCCCTAGAGACCTGAATGTAGCCCTGGACACCTGAATGTGGCCCTGAGGATCCGGATGTGGTGTGGAGACACGAATGTTGCCCTGGAGACAGGGGTGGAGCCCTAGAGACCCGGATAGAGCCCTTGAAACCCGAATGTGGCCCTGGAGGGAGCCCTGGAGACCCGGATGTGGCCCTGGAGACCCCTATGTGGCCCTGAGGAACCGAATGTGGCCCTGGAGACCAGGGTGGAGCCCTGGAACCCAGATGTGGCCCTGGAGGGAGCCCTGGAGATAATGGATGTGGCCCTGGAGACTCGGATATGGCCCTAGAGACCCGGATGTAGCCTTAGGGACCCGGATGGAATCTTAGGGACTCGGATGGAACCCAGAGACCCGGATGGAGCCTTAGGGACCCCGATGGAGCATTAGGGACCCGGATGGAGCCCAGAGACCCGGATGGAGCCCAGAGACCCGGATGGAGCCTTAGGGACCTTGATGGAGTCTTAGGGACCTGGATGGAGCCCAGAGACTTGGATGGAGCCTTAGGAACCCGGATGGAGCCCAGAGACCTGATAGAGCCCAGATATCCGGATGGAGCCTTAGGGACCCAGATGGAGCTCAGAGACCTGATGGAGCCTTAGGAATCCGGATGGAGCCCAGAGACTTGGATGGAGCCCAGAGAGTGAGATAGAGCATTAGGGGCTCGGATGGAGCCCAGAGACCCGGATGGAGTCTTAGGAACCTGGATGGAGCTCAGAGATACGGATGGAGCCCAGAGACTCTGATGGAACCCAGAGACTTGGATAAAGCCTTAGAGACCTGGATGGAGCCCTGGAGACCCGGATATGGCCCTAGGGACCTGGATGTGGCCCTGGGACCCGGGTGTGGACGTGGGGACCCGAATGTGGCCCTGGGAGAACTGGATGTGGCCCTGGGGACCTGATGTGGACCTGGATGGAGCCCTGGGAGACCCCGATGTGGCCTTGGCAACCCGGATGTGGACCTGGGGGACCCGGATGGAGCCCTGGGAGACCCAGATGTGGCCCTAGAGACCCGGGTGTGGCCCTGGAGACCCCCATGTGACTCTAAGGACCCGGATGTGGCCCTGGGAGCCCGTATGTGGCCCTGGAGATCCGGATGTGACCCCGGAGACCTGGATGGCGCCATAGAGAGCCGGATGTAGTGATGGAGACCTGGATGTGGCCCTGGAGAGAGCCCTAGAGACCCGGATGTGGCCCTGATCATGCTGATGTGGCCCTGGAGACCCAGATGTTCCTGGAGACCTGGATGGAGCCCTGGAGACCTGGATGTGGCCCTAGACCCTGGATGTGGCCCTGGAGAACCGGTAATGGCCCGAGACACCTGGATGTGGCCCTGGGGACCCCGATATGTCCCTTGGGGAACCGGATGTGGCCCTGGGTCCCGTATGTGGAGCCCTGGGAGACCCGATGTGGCCCTGCAGACCCGGATGGAGCTCAGAGACCCGGATGGAGCCCAGAGACTCGGATTGAGCCAAGAGACCGGATAGAGCCTTAAGGACTCGGATGGAGCCCAGAGACCCGGATGGAGCCTTAGGGACCCCGATGGAGTCTTAGGGACCCGGATGGAGCCCAGAGATCCGGATGGAGCCATAGGAACCCAGATGGAGCCCAGAGACCCAGGTGGAGCCCAGAGACCCAGATGGAGCCCAGAGATCCGGATGGAGCCTTAGGGACCCGGATGGAGCCCAGAGACCAGGATGGAGCCCAGAGACCAGGATGGAGCCCTAGGGACCCAGATGGAGCTCAGAGATATGGATGGAGCCCAGAGACCCGGATGGAGCCCAGAGACTCGCATTGAGCCCAAAGACCCGGATGGAGCCTTATGGACCCGGATGGAGCCTTAGGGACCCAGATGGAGCCCAGAGTCTCGGAAGAGCCTTAGGGAACTGGATGGAGCCTTAGGGACCCGGATGGAGCCTTAGGAACCCGGATGGAGCCCAGAGACTTGGATGGAGCCCAGAGACCTGGATGGAGCCCAGAGACCCGGATGGATCCTTAGGGACTTGGATGGAGTCTTAGGGAATTGGATGGAGCCCAGAGACTCGGATGGAGCCAGGAGTCCCGGATGGATCCTTAGGGACCCAGATGGAGCCCAGAGATATGGATGGAGCCCAGAGACCTGGATGGAGCCCAGAGACCTGTATGGAGCCCAGAGACTCGGATGGAGCCAGGAGTCCCGGATCGATCCTTAGGGACCTGGATGGAGCCCAAAGACCCGGATGGAGCCCAGAGACTCTAATGGAGCCCAGAGACTCAGATGGAGCCTTAAGGACCTGGATGGAGCCCAGAGACCCGCATGGAGCCTTAGGGATGCGGATGGAGCCTTAGGGACCCAGATGGAGCCCAGAGACTCGGGCAGAGCCCCGAGACCAGGATGGAGCCCAGAGACCCGTATGGAGCCCAGAGACTCAGATGGAGCCAGGAGTCCCGGTTGGATCCTTAGGGACCTGGATGGAGCCCAAAGACCCGCATGGAGCCTTAGGGATGCGGATGGAGCCTTAGGGACCCGAATGGAGCCCAGAGACTTGGGCAGAGCCCCGAGACCAGGATGGAGCCCAGAGACCAGGATGGAGCCTTAGGGACCCGGATGTAGCTCAGAGACCTGGAGAGAGCCCAGAGACCCTGGGTGGAGCCCTGGGACCCAGATATGGCCCTGGAGGGAGCCCTGGAGATCCGGATGTGGCCCTGGAGACCCTGGTGTGGCCCTGGAGACCCTGGTGTGGCCCTGGAGACCCGGATGGAGCCCTGGGGAACCGGATGTGGCCCTGGAGACCCGGATATGGCCCTGGGGACCTGGATGTGGCCCTGAAGATCGGGGTGGAGCCCAGAGACTCGGATGGAGCCCAGAGACTGGATGCAGCCTTAGGGACACTGTTGGAGCCCCGAAACCCGGATGGAGCCCAGAGACCCGGATGTGGTCCAGAGACCTGGATGGAGCCCAGAGACCTGGATGGAGCCTTAAGGACTCGGAAGAAACCTTAAGGACCCGGATGTAGCCTTAGTGACCCTGAAGGAGCACAGAGACCCGGATGGAGCCTTAGGGACCAGGATGTTTCCTAGGGACCCAGATGGAGCCCAGAGATACAGATGGAGACCAGAGACCCCGATGGAGCCCAGAGACCTGTATGGAGCCCAGAGAATCGGATGGAGCCAGGAGTCCCGGATGGAGCCCAGAGACCCGGATGGAGCCCTTAGGGACCCAGATGGAGCCCAGAGACCCGGATGGAGCACTTAGACCCGGATGTGGCCCTGGGGACCAGGATGTACCCCTGGGGACCTGGATGTGTCACTGCGGACATGAGTGGAGCCCTGGGGAGCCGGATATTGCCCTGGAGACCCGGATGTGGCCATGGGGACCCGGATGTGGCCCTGGGATCCTGGTGGAGTGTGACTGGCTGCCAGTGGAGTCGGGGAGAACCCCCCCAGTGTCACTCAGGGCTGATTGACAGCCACCAGATGACAGAGCCCACCCCCTTGTCAGTGAACGGTGACTGACAGTGCAGGGAGACCCGGAGGTAGCCCCTGGGTTCCTCCACCAGCTCACTCTGTCTTTTGACGGAACAATAAAAATCGTTTAAAATAAACGACTGGGACTGTGCCTGGGATGAGTTTATTCCATGAACAGGAAGCAGAGAAAGCTGGGGACGGCCGATTCTAGAATGTTCCGAAGCTTTCTAGAAATTCTGGAACAATCCAGACCATCTTGGATCAATCCAGAATGCTCTAGAATGTTCCGGAGCATACTAGCGCGTTCGCAGGTGGGAGGAGATGGTGAGGCGATCAGGGGAGGAATCATTGTGCAGGAGGGGCGGTTCTGGAATGGTCTAGAATGTTCTGGCACCTTCTCCAAGGGAGGCGTCCTCAGGGTGGACAGGTGTCTGTTGGAGAGAAGAGGAAAGCCGAGTCAGCGCCGAGTCAGCGCCAAGTCAGCCCGGAAGCTGCCGCAGCCTCACCTGTGTCGCCCACACGCCGGATGTACTTCTGCGGGATCCCATTCTGCTCCGTGAGCCTCGCGTAGTCCTCCAGCCGGTCGTCATTTATGACTTTCAATTTGACTGTGGCAAGAGTGGGTGCCGACTGAGTACGCTTGCTTTAGTGTGAGCCTACTGCATACACTCACTTTAGTGGCTGTATACACTCACCCCATCTAGCGAGCGCCAACTGTATATGCTAGCGTTAGTGGGCACCGACTGTATATGCCCACCATGTCTAGTGGGCACTGACTGTATACACTCGCTTTATCCAGTGGGCACCGACTGTATCCCCCCTTTCCCTGTATACAGTTGGGCTCAGACTCTCGGGTCGTGGTGCGTATCCCTAGCGGGCACCGGCAGTGTACATGTGTGTGTGAGGGGGGCTCACCCACAAGGAAGCTGAGGCGGCTGGTGGTGCCGCTGGACCCCATGTTATTGATGAAGACGAAGAGCCTAGCGGGATCCAATACGTGGAACTGGAAGGAGGTCTGGCCCTCGACTGTAGGGAGAGAGGTGGGTGTTCTGGATGTGCCGGGGCATGCTGGGACATTCTAGCGCATTCTGGAACATTCTAGAACATTGAGGAACTGGAGCATCCTGGGACATTTGCAGCATCCTGGAACATTTCTGGGAACATTCTCGAACATTCTGGAACACACCGGACATTCCCTGGGGTCGTCTGGAATTGTCTGGAACTTTCCGAAATGCTCTGTACTCACAGTCAGTGGTGTAGATGCCGTCTGCGTTCTTCTGGGCCACAACCGTGTGCGGGGTGCATACCTCGTTCTTCCTGAAGGAGAGACCGGGAACATGGCCACTCGCTGTGGGCTCAACTGCTCCTGTCTGCTCTCCCTCTGGGCTTGCCTGGTCCACCATGGCCTGCTCTTTGACTCTGGGATCGGCTGGTCCTGTCTGCTCTCTCTCAGCTCCATTACTCCCCTCTAGCCCACCTGTTCTCTGACTCTGGGCTCAACTGCTCCTGTCTACTCTTTCTCTGGGCTCGGCTGGTCCACCATGGCCTGCTCTTTGACTCTGGGATCGGCTGGTCCTGTCTGCTCACTCTCAGCTCCATTACTCCCCTCTAGCCCACATGCTCTCTGACTCTGGGCTCAACTACTCCTGTCTGCTCACTCTCCCTGGGCTCGGCTGGTCCCCCTAGCTTGCTCTTTGTCTCTGGGCTCAACTACTCCTGTCTGCTCACTCTCAGCTCCATTACTCCCCTCTAGCCCACATGCTCTCTGACTCTGGGCTCAACTACTCCTGTCTGCTATCTCTCTCTCTGGGCTCGGCTGGTCGCCCTGGCCTGCTCTGTCTCTCTCTCTCTGGGATCGCTTGGGCTTGGCGGCGCCTGTCTTCCCCGCTCTCTGGGCTCGATTGCTCCCCCCTGGCTCTCTGTCTGTGGCCTCGGCTTGTCTCCCCTGGCCCCGCCCCTCACTTGACATAGAAGAAGACGTTCAGGGCGTTGCAGTCCTCGTTGCACTCCATCTCGCGGAACAGCATCCGGAGTGGCCCATCCTCCAGGATCATTTCCAGGATGTCGGAGGCCATGGCGGAGGTGCGCCAGGGCCCGGAGAGCTGGGGAGGTGAAGAAATGACGCGCATTAATGATACGGCTGAAGAAACAATGCAAAGTAGTGATGCGAATTAGTGATGCGAAGTAATGATGTGAAGAAATGATATGAATTCATGACGAGAATTAATACTGGGAACTAATGATGCAAATTAATGATACCTGGGCGGGGTCGATGTCCGCACAGGCCACGCCCACCGTGAGGGCGAGGAGGAGAGCCTTCGTCACCGTCATCTTCATCACCATCGTCTTCGTCGTCGTCTGAGCCGGCGGGGACCCGGCGTCTATTTATTGCCAGGGCTGGGGGAGGAGTTGGCGGGCCGAAGGTTGTGCAAACATCCTGGTGGACACCAGGGACGTTCCGGAACGGTCAGTGCTCCCAGGGAATTCTGGGAGAGTCTGTCGTGCGTTCTTGGGCCTTGGAATTTTCCAGAACCCCTGGTGGGTGTTTCCAGGATTCCAGAATGTTCTAGAATGCCCAGGGAATGTCCTTGGAATCGCGAGGAATTCTGTGGAATGTTCCAGAATGTTCTAGAGAGCCCGGCGCACGTCCTCGGGGCCTTAGAATATTCTAGAGCGCCTGGTCTTGGAGTGTTCCGGAATACTGGTGGATGACGTAGAATTTTCTAGAATGTTCGTAGGATGCCCTGGACCGCTTGGTGAGTGTCTTTGGGGTCTTGGAATGTTGTAGAATGTTCCAGTATGTTCCAGAGAACCCAGCGAGCGTCCTGGGGGGTCTGAGACCCTCTGCCGACGTGCTGGAAGTTTCCGCAGCCCCGGTGGGCGCCGGATGTCACGTCAATGTCCGCAGGGCCAGGCCAGCACCAGGACACCCGTCACACCCAGCCGGGAAACTTCTACTCAGACCCGTATCCCAGAATCCCCCCAGACTCACTTGGTGATGTTCTGGTACATTCTAGAACACCTCGGAAAAATTCTAGGGATCCCGGAACATTCTAGAACGTCCTAGAATGTTCCAGAACCTGGAGATATATATATGTATTTTTTTTAGCTTTTTTCGTGCCCAGGCACCCAGATGTGACCTTGAGAGCTCCAGGGAGGTCACTCTAGTTTCTGTCTCTCGATAGGAAAAACCGACTTGACCCGTTCTGCGTTCTGTAATCCTTTAATCTGGTTTTCTGCTCCACTCACTCCACGGCTCAGGCTGGCTCTTCTCTCAGGGAGAGGAGGGTCATCAACATGGCGTGTAGAGCACGCTGGACAAGGCAGATTCATAACTACAAAGTTTGCTCATCTTCTAATACCAAGACCCGCAATATCTCAGTTTTTTTTTTTTAATTTTTTTTTTGACAGGCAGTCAGATCCATCGGAAATGCCTTGAAAACATGGTCGTGTATAGACACGACTTCTTGAAAGGGTTTGCAGCTTCGTCGTCAGTACTGTCTCCTCAGTGACTTTAGAGCAGGAGAGAACAGGACACAGCGGACACTCTGAACAGCAACTTCAGTGAGTGAGTGATGAAGTGCCCAGACGAGGGAGGCGCAGTGGGTGACACGTCGATTCAGAAACGAGAGCAACTAGCCTGGGATTACCATGAGTGTGTTGGCAGAAGAATTAAAACTTGAAATAAGACTCCCGAAACGTACGCGCGGTCTTCACCACCTTGAACGAGTCTTGGTTTTTGCTGATAGGCTCTTTTTTTTTTTGAACGGCAGGACTGGACAGTGAGAGAGAGACAGAGAGAAAGGTCTTCCTTTGTCGTTGGTTCACCCTCCAATGGCCGCCGCGGCCGGCGCACCGCGCTGATGCAATGGCAGGGGCCAGGTACTTCTCCTGGTCTCCCATGTGGTGCAGGGCCCAGGCACTTGGGCCATCCTCCACTGCACTCCCGGGCCACAGCAGAGAGCTGGCCTGGAAGAGGGGCAACCGGGACAGAATCCGGTGCCCTGACCGGGACTAAAACCCGGTGTGCTGGCGTCGCAGGTGGAGGATTAGCCTGGTGAGCCGCGGCGCCGGCTTGTATGATTATTTTCATAAACTGTGCTTTGAACAGGGACACAAGTGATTGAGCACAAGCCATGCAGTGTCCTCTGAGCCACTCAGTGATAGCTGAGGGTCTCCGTCCTTTATAGACTTCAAGTTGTGAGCCAGGGGTTAGTGTCTGAAGGCACGCTACATGAAGAGGTAGGGAGAGATCACCTGTTGTGGGCCACTTTGTAAACCATCTTGAATGTCACACACTTGCCATCTGACCAGATGTGTGCACTGTCTGTTCTTCCCTAGTTTCTGCACCCAGCTGGACTTTCACATTCAGATATGGCGGAGAAACCACTCCCTTAGGATCCACTGAGTGCCCCTGACTGGATCAGGAACTGTCGCAGAGTGACAGGTTCTGGGTCAGTCAGGGGCAGGCAGGAGAGCTAAGGACTTGGGGTTCCTGCCGCAGACTGACAGGTTCCCGGTCCTGTCAGGGGCAGGCAGGGGAGCCAAAGACAGCGTTTCTGGCCCTAGACTGGCAAGCTACCAGTCCCATCAGCGGCAGGCAGGGGAGACAAGGAGGTGGGGTTCTGGCCCCAGACTGACAGGTTCCCAGTTCCATCAAGGGCCGGCAGGGGATCCAAGAGGTGGGGTTGTAGTCCTCGACTGTCAGGTTCTCAGGCCAGAAAGAGGCAGTCAGGGGAGCCAAGGAGGTGGGGTTCTGGCCGCAGAATGACAGGCTCTGGTTCCAGTCAGGGGCAGGCAGGGTAGTGTAAGAGGATGGTGTTCCTGCCACAGACATACCAGTTCCCTGTCTAGTCAGGGACAAGCCGGGGAGCTAAGCATGTGGGGTTCTGGCCGCACATGGACAGGTTCCCGGTCCATATGGCCAGGCAGGGAAGTTAAGGCATTCTGGCTAAGGTTCTGGCAGCAGCATGACAGGTTCCTGGTCCCATCGCGGGCAGTCAGGGGAGCCAAGGAGGTTGGTTCTGGCCACAGACTGACAGGTTCAGGTCTATCAGGGGCAGGCAGGGGAGCTGAGGACATGGGGATCTGGCCACAGGCTGACAGGTTCCCGTTGCTGTCAGGGGAGCCCAATGAGGTGGGGTTCTGGCTACAGAGTGACAGGTTCCTGGCCCCCTCAGGGAAAGTCAGGGGAGCCACGCAGGTTAGGCTCTGGTCGAGACTGACAGGTTCCGAGTCCCATCACAGGTAGGCAGGGGAGCCTAAGGAAGCGGGGTTCTGGCAACTGGTGACAGTTGCAGGTCCATCAAGGGTAGGGAGGGGTGCTGATGGGGTGGGGTTCTGGCTGCAGACTCACAAGTTCCTGGTCCAGTCAGGGGCGGGCAGCGTAGCCTACGGAGGTGGGGTTCTGGCCACAGAATGACAACAGGTCTCTGGTCCCATCAGGAGTAGGCAGGGAGCTAAGGACATGGGGTTCCTTCCGCAGACTGACTGACAGATTCCAGGTCCAGTCAGGGGCAGGCAGGGGAGCTAAGGGGTGGAGTTCTGGCCACAGACTGCCAGGTTCCTGGTCCAGTCAGGGACAGTCAGAGGAGCCAAGGAGGTGGGGTTCTGGCCACAGACTGACAGGTTCCCAGTCCAGTCAGGGACAGTCAGAGGAGCCAAGGAGGTGGGGTTCTGGCCACAGACTGACAGGTTCCTGGTCTAGTCAGGGGCAGGCCTGGGAGCCAAGGGGTGGAGTTCTGTCCGCAGACTGAAAAGATCCCAGTCCCATCAGGGGGACTCACTGGAGCCTCAAGGTTGGGGTTCTGGCTGCAGACTGACGGGTTCCCGGTCCCATCAGTGGCAGTCAGGGGAGCCAAGGAGGGTGGTTCTGGCCTCAGAGTGACACGTTTCGGTCCAGTGACGCCAGGAAGGGGAGTTAGCTACGTGTGGTTCTGGCCACAGACTGACAGATTCCTGGTCCGGTATGGTCAGGCAAGGGAGCTAAGGGGGTGGAGTTTTGGCCGCAGACTGACTGGTGCCCGGTCCTGTCAGGAGCACTCAGCAGAGACTAGAGGTGGGGTTCTGGCTGCAGACTGACAGGTTCCTGCTCCAGTTAGGGGCAAGTCAGGGGAGCAAAGAAGTTAGGGTTCTAGTGGCAGACTGACACATTCCGGGTCCATCTGGGGCGGGAAATGACCCAGGAGCTGGGGTTCTAGCCGCAGACTTACAGGTACTGGGTCCAACAGAGGCAGGCAGTGGAGCTAAGGATGTGGGGTTCTGGCTGCACACTGACAGGTTCCCGGTCCAGTCAGGGGCAGTAAGGCCAGCTAGGGACATGGGGTTCTGGCCGCAACTGACAGGTTCCCAGTCCCGTCAAGGGCAGGCAGGGGGGCCAAAGTGGGTGGGGTTCTGGCCACAGACTCACGGGTTCCATTTCCAACAGGGGTAGGCAGTGGAGCTAAGGATGTGGGGTTTGGCTGCACACTGACAGGTTCCTGGTCCAGTCAGGGGCAATAAGGGGAGCTAAGGACATGAAGTCTGCATGCAGACTGACAGGCTCCTGGTCCCCTCAGGGGCAGCCAAAGGAGCTAAGGATGTGGGGTTCTGGCGGCAGACTTTCAGGTTCCATGTGCGTGTGGAGTAGGACAGGGAGGCAGGGTGGTGGGGTTCTTTCTGCAGACTACAGGTTCCAGATCTATCAAAGGCAGGCGGGCAGCTAAGGACGTGGGGTTCTGGCCACAGACTGACAGGTTCCCGGTCCTGTCAAGAGCACTCAGTGGAGCCAAGCTGGGTGGGGCTTTGGCTACAGACTGACAGGTTCCTGGTCCAGTCAGGGGCAGGCAGGGGAGCCTAAGGAGGTGGGGGGACCGGGCCACAGACTGACAGGTTCCCAGTTCTGTTCGGGGCAGGCAGGGGAGCTAAGGACATGGGATTCCTGCCGCAGACTGACAGGTTCCAGGTCGAGTCAGGGGCAGACAGGTGAGCCTCTGGTCGCAGACTGACATGACCCGGTGCTGTTAGGGGCAGGCAGGGGAGCCTAAGGAGTTTGGGTTCTGGAGTCAGACTGACAGGTCCCGGTGCAGGATGTCCAGGAAGGGGAGCAGATGGAGTGGGGTTCTGCTCAGAGACTGAGAGGTTCCTGGTCCCATCAGGGAAAGGCAGGGGAGCTAAGGAGGCGGGGTTCTGGACGCAGACTGACAGGGTTTCAGTTCTGTCAGTGGCAGTCAGGGAAGCCATGGAGGTGGGGTTCTGGTCGCAGACTGACAGGTTCCCAGTCCAGAACGGCCAGGCAGGGGAGGTAAGGGGTGGGGTTTTGGCGGCAGACTGACAGATTCCTGGTCCCATCAGGGGCAGGAAGGGGAGCCCAAGGAGGTGGGGTCTGGCCAGAGGCTGAGAGGTTCTGGGTCCATTAGGGGGAAGTCAGTGGAACCAAGGATGTGGGGTTCTGGCCGCAGAGTGACGGATTCCACCTCCATCAGGGGCAGGCAGAGGAGCTAAAGCGGTTGGTTTCCGGTCACACACTGACAGGTTCCCATGCTGTCAGGGGCAGTCAGCGGAGCCAATGACGTGGGGTTCTGTCAGCAGGCCGACAGGTTCCCGGTCCCGTCAGGGCCACTCAGTGGAGACTAAGGGGGTGGGCTCTGGCTGCTGACCGACAGGTTCCTGGTCCCCTCAGGGGCAGGCAGGTGAGCCAAGGACGTGAGATTCCTGCCACAGATGGAAAGGTTCCCAGGTTTGGCCACAGACGGAAAGGATCCTGGACCAAAATGTCCAGGCATGAGAGCTAAGGGGGAGTGTCTGGTCGCAGGCTGACAGGTTCCCTGTGCACTATGGCAAGGGGTAAGGTGAAAAGGTCGTTAAGGTGAAGAGGTCCTTTCAAGATAGCCACTGAGGGAAAAAGGTCATGCCAAGATGGCCGCCGAGGAGAAAAGGTCATGCCAAGATGGCCGCTGACCACAGAAATTGCCTGGCACCAGGCCGTGATTGGATGGCTTCTGAAACCACATGGCAACAGAGGAAACCACATGACAACAGAGCCTGACTGACAGCCAGCCGGCCGTGATTGGATGCTTTCAGAAACCACATGACAACAGAGCCTGA